CCCTAAAATATGAACCATATTCAATCAAGATTTCTGCTTGCACTGTGAGATCTAACATTAACTATCAGATATATCTGTTTCTTTACACTGTGAGATCAGTAAATAAAGGGACACCATCACTGAAGACAAAATGATCATGCCCTTACTTGAAATTCTTAAAGCCATGTCAAGAAAGTTATAGCTGAAACAGGATTTTGACAAAAAAAAAACGAATATGTTCTGATTTGAGAGCATTTAAGCCATCACAGAAGAGCAGATCTGATAGACGTAACAAATATGTTGTGATTAAAAACCAAAAAAAATACATAAACACCAGAGAACAAGGTTTGCAAAAGTTACCAACTCACTCACCTAAGAAGAATAATCAACTTGGCGGTCGAGGTACCGAGTCCAGCCATTGTGGGAGAACAAATTGGGATACCTCGACGGCTTCGTCAGCCCAAACTTCCATATACACCTTGGAATTGGACGAATAACAACCTTCACTACTTCTCCAACCAAACGACTGTGTTGTAGATTCCATAGATAGACGATATCAGAATCAAACGGATTCATTGCCAAAGGAATACAATCGACGTCAAATTGGATAGACGTCATAGTGATTTCTCCCCGTAACAGTTGCCAGCATTCACTACTCTCAGAGTTGTTGTTGTTATTCAGCCTCCAAACCTTCAATCTTCGATCCAGTATCTCAATGTACATAACATCTCCTCGTGAGGTAGTCAAGCATCTCTTCACACGTTTGTTATACGGAAGAGGGAGAGGTATAACTCGACACTTATCATCAGCTTCAAGGCCATGAGCTACGAGGATATCAGGTTCATTAGGATCCAATCTCCTTCCCCACATATAAAGCATCCCATTGAGATTCACCGAGTCATGAGAACCAGTGAAGTAAAGCACTTTGGCACATTTCATTTTCATCTCTCTGACTCTGTCTCTATTATATATACTCGTGTTGCGAGGCAACGTTTATTGGGCTTTACATTATAGCCCATTAACATATTTTTTGTCAACAGCCCATTAACATATTAGAGAAATGATATTAAAAATCGTAATAAAATATTTAACCGGTTCGGTTCAGGTATGAATCGGGCGGGGGTT